GCTTGATGTTTGGAGGCCATAACACTTCTACCAGTTCAGGGGTTGCCCTTGATCACACACATGAGGCTGTTTCATGGCTCCGGGAAGACCCACCACTCATCTGCTTGTCCCTGACTTTGCGCCCTGGGCATAACCAGCTCTAAATGTTCCAAGTTCCTGCCATGCAGACTGCCTGTGACCCAGCACTTGGGAGGCTGAGGCAGGAGGATCGCCATGAGTTTGAGGCCAGCCTGGGCTACACAGAGAGACCAAGTCAGCGAGACTGTACGTCCCCACAGGCAGGCTGCAGCATGAGAGCTGTAACCGAGGCTGGACAGCGTGTGCCCAGGGAAGGAGGCTGGGGCTTGCTCTGGGCAGCACTCGCTGCCCGCAGCCAAACTCTCTGGCTCTGCCAGGGCTACAGCAGCCTGGAGCTGGCAGGCCACAGAGTGCCAGGACGGCTATAAATCTGCGGAACACAAAGCATTTGGGTCTTGAACTTTATCAGCGTTCAGTGTGTGATTGTGAAAGTAAAGAGGAGAAAAGGCCACACTGGGTAAATCAAAAGTGGGAGATCAGGGCTGGGGGCGGAAGGGCCCAGGTCGCACCCTGCGGAAACCCTGAAGCAAGCAGTCTTTTAGGTTCCCTGTACATCTCGCTTTTGGAAAACAAATCTCTTTCCCCAGTCATTTTTGTTTAGTTTAGTTTTGCTTTTGAAAACAAGGTCTCCTTGTGCAGTTCAGGCTGGCCTCAGACTCAAGGGGATCCTCCCGCCTCAGCCTCCCGAGTGCTGGGATGACAGGTGTGCACCACTACCCTTGACTTCCCTGTTTATTTTACTGTCAAAAAACAGTAGTCTTTGCTAAGTTTACAGATTGAAAAAAAATCTATTCGTTATTAAGCTTTAAAGTGGGTGGAAGTGACAGGAGACTCTGAAGGCAAATGAGATGAAAGATGTAGGGCTGGGGATTTAGCTTAGCAGCATAAGTGCCTGCCTTGCAAGCACATGGTCTTGAGTTCGATCCTCCCCCCCGGGGGGGGGGGCGGGAAGAAGAGATGGAAGATGTCTAGAACTGCCTAGGTCTGTCTCTGTTTAGTAGGGTGGCTCAAGTACAGTCCTTGCCTAGCATGTGTGAGCCTCTGGGTTTGATCTCAGTCCCGCAAATGAATGAATGAATGACTGTATATTAGATGGCCAGAGCTGGGCTTGGTGGTGCACACCTGTAATCCTAGCATTCTGGAGGCTGAGGCAGGAGGATCGCTGGGAGTTTGAGGCCAATCTGGACTACACTGTGAGACCTTGTCTCAAAAAACAGCAAAAGTAGCCCCGCCAGGATATGAATTACTCCCTCTCCAATACCTCCTGCTGGCCTCAGGGCTGGCTGTGAGGGCCTCTCTCTCTCCCACAGGAAGGAGTGCAGGGCCCCTGCTGTGGGTCTGGGATTCCTGAATCAACCGGTTCTGTGGAAGTGGGCAGCAGCATCTGCAGGGGTAGCAACAGGAAGTCCCCCTTACAGGGGCTGCACCTCCTCCTGGTAAACCACAGTGAGGTGACAGGAAATGTTCATTAGAAATAATTCTTTCTTTTTCTTTCATGTCTTGCTAGATAGTCCAGGCTGGCCTTGAATTCATGGAGATCCTCCTGCCTCAGCCTCCTGATGCTGAGATTACAAATGTGCACCATCACACCAGGCTCAACAATAATAGTTCATCCTTGCACAGTGCTTGGGAAGAACCTGCAGCTACCAGGAGCACTCCTGCTACACGGTCTTCAGTCCTCTCCGCAGCCAGGACAGTGGCTTAAACAGAAAGGGCCCTTGCTGCTGGTCACACCTTGCCTCCACAGGCTGCCCAGGAGCCCCGAGCTGCCCAGGGGTCCTATAAATCCCCTAAGGACAACGACCCCGAACCGCGCTTTAGTGGAGGTAGAAGAGGCCCCATCTCCCCTCTGGAAGCCGAGGTGCCACCTTTGGAGCAAAGCGCTCAGAAGCGGCTGCTCCCTCCAGCCTCTGGGCCGCAGCGAGCTCCTCCGCTGGGCTGTGTCCCTGCTGCCGGGAGCTGAAGGGCAGCCGTGGCAGAGACTCCTGCATCCCGATTCTCTGTATATTTGCTATGTAACTGCGTGGAAAGATCATGCTTTTGAGCCTTGGCTGTGGTGACTTTTAAATTTTCTTTATATTTTTGGTGTTTGAGACAGGGTCTTGCTTTTTAGCCCAGGCTGGTTCAAACTCACTGTGATCCTCCTGCATCAGCCTCCTGATTGCTGGGACTTTGGCAATTTCTTTCCCTTTCCAATTTCTTTTTTCTTTCCAAGGAGGGGCACCTGTCACTTAGCAAATCTCCCCAAAGCCAGCTCTTGCTACTTTTCTGCTTTAGCAGTTCCTGGCCCTCCTTTGGGGAAAAAACCCAAACCCCAAACAAAACGCTACTCAAGGCAGCGAGCGTGGGCTCTGAGCACACAGCCCCGGGGTGGGGCTGCACCCCAGGGGTACCAGCGTGAGCAGGTCAGCCCCGCACGGGCACGGGAAGTTTTTTTCACCACGGGAGCATGAGGAGCCCTTTTCCTGCGGCGCTCTGCTTTCCCACCGGGAAGCCGCCTTAGCTTGAGGGTCAGCAAAGCTCAGGACTGGGGAGCTCAGACATGGGGGACCCTGGAGAGCCTTTTGGCAGTGACCCTCGCCCCCAACCTCTGCCAGGGAGCAGGGCGGGAGGCGGAGCTGAGAAGAGGCGGCCGGGACCCTAAGGGGTCCCTCCGTTCCTACTAGAGGGGAGTGGGAAGGTGTGGGGTGGACCTGGGGGCGGGGAGAAGAGGCCCGAGCCTGGCGTCCGACCCCCACCCCCAGCCAGCGGGAAGCCCGCTCAGTGCCCGCTTTCGGGGAGCAGGGATGCTCCGAGCAGGGCTTCGCCTGGTTGCTGCCACGTGCGTGTGGCGATGCCAGGCGCGACAGACACCGAGAATAAAGCCCTCGCTTGCCAGCCGGGCCAATCTGGATGACTGAGTGAACCTCGGCCTCACATCTCCGCTCCACACCCGCTGCTGGACTGGCCTCGGTAACCCACAGCTGAAGCTCGGCTCAGAAGTCTGAGCGACTGCGAACCCCATGGGCCAGGGCAGGACCCTGCCCGCAGCCAGAGATGATTTCTTTTTTGAGATAGGGTCTCACTGTGTATGCCAGGCTAACCATGGACTCACTACGTAGCCCCAAACTGGCCTTGCACTCATGGAGATCCTCCTGCCTCAGCCTCCCAGAGTGCTGGAATTACCGGCGCGCATCACTACGCCATATACCAGGGTAGTTTGTTTTTATTACTTAGTGTAAACAACCAAAAAGAGACGACACTTTAGCCACCTCCTGACCTCGACTTGGTCCCAGTCCCGACGTAGAGTTCCCCGGCTCCCTGGGACCTCAGGTCTGGGCCTCCCGCGGGTGTCCGGCGAGCAGGCTGCTGCACTGCCGGCGCCGGGCAGAATTTGTTTATCGGGTGTGAATCTCCAGCTTCGCTGTCGCCTCCTCCCTGCGACCCCAGAGAGACACCGCGGGGCTCCCGCAGGCTGCGCGGCCCTGACAGCAGCGTCAATTTGGTGTCACGCGGCAGCGGGGAAGCAGGAGGTCTGTGGCTGTGCACCAGGGGACAGCAGGGTGGCCAGACAAGCAGCGCGAGGAGGGGAGAAAGCGCGGAGGTGGGAGGCGACCCTCCCGCCCCATCCAGGGCCCGCGCCGGCCGGAGCAGGCGACCTTCGCGCCTCCGCGACCACGCACCTCTCCAGGGTCCGGGAATTCGCGGATTGGAAAGGGAGGGAGGGCACGGAGGAGGAAGGAGAAAGGGAAAATAAAAAAGAAAAGGACGGCAGGAAAAAAGATGAAGCCAAAGAAAACAGGCGGGAAGGAGGGACGCGGCCTGCGGGGCTGCGGCCACCGAGTGGGGGTCCCGCCCCCCCCCCGCTGGAGTCCCACGCGGCCGGGGATGGAGGACGCCGGGGTGACCCCGCGCCCTTGGCGGCAGCGTGCTCCGGACAGGAGAAATACGACATAACCTTCAAGACCCCATAAATCTGTGTTTTTCTTTTCTTTTACAATTTAACTCTACGGTTAAAGCTATGCTCTCACCAGGAATTAGGGTCTCCGCGTTTGGGAAAGGTCGCTGGAGCAGCCGGGAAGACCCCGCACGCAGCTAGGGTTTGTGGGGTGCGGGGGCCGGCACGCGCGTCCCCACCCGGGTCCCCGGAGCCCTTCCGTTTGGGCGGCGCAGCCCCCGCCCGGCGCCCCATTGGCTGCCGCGCTGCGGCCCCAGCCAGCCGGGGCGCCGCCGGGTTCGCGCGGTGTCAGCGAGGCTCCCAACGGGGCGCCGGAGAGGGCCCGGGGCAGCGCAGGACCTTAGGGAGCAGAAAAACAAAAAGAAGCCCGAGGAAGGGCTCCGCAGGCGCGTCCGCCCACCTGGACCCTCACCGGGTCCTCCAGCTCCGGGGAGCCTTTCTCTGCGCCCCGGCTCTGCAGGCCTCGGGCGCGCGAGAGGGCGGCTCGGAAAACGCGCCCCTGCCGGGCATCGGCGCCCCGAGCGCCCAGGCCAACGCGCTGGAAAAGGGGAACTCAGAGGTCAGGCAGGCTGGGATTTGGTCCTAATCAGGATAAACTTTTCCTTTATTTTTAAATAAGTGACATGATAAATTTCGCTAGGCATTCCCTCGCTGGGTTTGAAAATCAGTCTGGAGGGGAAGCCCTATAAAAGGGACGGTCACCTACGTTCCCTTTGTTTGGGGCACTTTGAGTAACTGGGGATCTGGAGGGTACAACACTGGGTCACCTCCCCAAAGGAGAAGCCCGAGAGCCCGAAGGTCTTTGCTCGAGCCAGTATCCTCGCTGCGCGCCCTCCCAGAACTGCGGGCCAGCGAGATCAGGGGGACTAGCAAGTTCACACGAACACCCCGAACTTGGAAACATGAAGCAAACACTGGGCAGGCTCGCGCAGAGGCTCGGACTCCAGGCTCCGACTTGGAGGCCGTTCATAGTCAGGACGCAAACTCCAACAAAGCATTTATTTTTTAGCAAATGCAAATTTTAAAAAATCCTTTTAACACAAATCTGAAAAACACTTCAAAAAACAAACAAACAAAAAAACAAACAATTGGACTCAAAGGAAATCAACCGTCCAGAACATTCGCATGACTGCTTATACACGAGCTTTGCAAAATTCAGTTCGTTTAAAAGCTTGGTGCAGGTCGCTGAGGGACCGCAATCCAGCGAGACCTTGGAAGCCACGGTGAGAACCACGCACTCGATCGAACTCGGGTTAAAATTTAAAGCCCTGGGTCCTGCTCCAGTTGCCAGTCTTTCCTCCATTCCAGAGTTTTCCACCGCTAACCTTTCCCAGCTCTGCGACTAGAAGCCGCGCGGGGACTGGAAGGGGGTGGCGAAGAGGAATGTAATAAAAGTGACTAAATCGGGCGAGAACGGTTTATGGACCTTCCCGGTAGCAATTTAAAATTCAAAAGTCTTCAGCAACAATTTACAACGAAGGATGAGAAAAGGAGGATTTTCGCCAGCTTCCTGGATTCCGCACCCCCTCCCCGCACTGCCGTCCCCACCCACAGGTTAGCAACTCACGGTTCCGGGGCCAGGAGCCCCTTCTGCAAAGAGGTCGCGCCGTCTCTCCAAACCGCGCTCGGCGGCACACCTCCCCAGACCTGGGAACTCTGCCGGGGTGCCTCTGCCTTCCCCAACTGGAAAAACACAAAAATAATTTTTTAAAAACAAACACTCACCCCCCCCCCCAACAAAAACCAGAGCCCAAAGGCGCTCAGGGAGACTGACCTTAGACAATCATTTACTACGACGAACCTGGGGAGGGGGAGGGGAGGCGCGCGAACCCATCCCCGCGAGATCGCGCCTCCTGACCGCGTCCTCCCCTGTCCTTCCCGTGGGCGGCAGGGAGCGGGTCCGGGTCCTGGCCTCGCGCGGACGCGCCTGCGGTCACGCGCCGCGCTGTGACAGATGCAGCTGATAACCCGCGACGCCCGTTCCAGTCCTTTGGTCGCCAAGGACCGTGTCAGTTCACACACAACTGCGATCGCCGTTCCAAGGCAGCGAGAGAGGGGTGTGTGCGCGAGGGAGGGGGCAGGGATCCCGGATTTGGCACCAGGTCTAGGGAAGGCACCTCCTCCCCCTCATGCTGATCTGCGCCTTACCTGAAGTCCAGGGAGAGTCACAGCCAGCGGAAGGGCAAAACGCAGGGTGTCCCCGGGCACCGCTGGTGGGAAGCCCCTGCCCTGTGGCACAACCTGGTAGGCTAAGCTTTCCGCACGGCGCGCGGGGACCCCGAGTTAAAAGTTCTCGAAGGTCAGCTGGGGAATGCGATCCTCCCGAGGATTTAGTGAGTATTTTAAAAGCAAAAGACAGGTAAGGAGTGGACATCCGCGGTCCTTCTCTGCCGAGTAGAGGAGCCCATGCTCAAAGGTCACCCCGACCTGAGCCCTAGCATCCCGAAATAGAATCGGGGAAAGTTTAAGGTCGGTCGCACACCGCTGCAAAGCCAAAAAGCTCACTTACTAGGGCGGGAGGGGGGAAGGGCCTGGGGCAAAGCACTTACGCCCCTCATTTTGGGGGCGCGCTCTTGCCGGCGCCCCTGGCACGCAGCCGACCGCCCCTTCTCTGGGTGCGTGAGCGCGCGCACGCGGGTGTGCATGGAACTGGGGGCGCAGGAGGCGCACCTCGCCCGCCCCGGTGTCGGTCGCCAGTCAGGTTGGGCATTCTGTCGCCTCCGCCCCTCCTGGGCGTCCCCCGACTGGGCGCCCCCTGGGGGGCACTCTTGGTCCGGGTGGCCCTGGCGGTGCAAGGCGCCCGGCCCACGCCCGCAGGCAGCTCGGCGCTCATTGTCTGCCCTGGCGGCGCGCTCCCCTCCCCCTCCCCCCTCCTTTTTCTCCTCCCCTCGATCCCTCCTCCGCCGCCGCCGCCTCCTCCTCTTCACCTCCGCGCCCAGCTGCTCCCAGAGCGCAGTTCCGACCCACAGCCTGGCACCCTTCGGCGAGAGCTGTTTGTTTAGGGCTCGGTGAGTCCAATCAGGAGCGCAGGCTGCAGTTTTCCGGCAGAGCAGTAAGAGGCGCCTCCTCTCTCCTTTTTATTCTCCAGCAGCGCCGCGCAGACCCCGGACTCGCGCTCTCCCGCCGCCCGCGCCCTCGGCCTCGCTCCGCGCCGCCCGGGCCCTCTCCGCCGCCGCCGTGCTCCATGCGCCGCGCTCGCCCGAGGTTCGGCCGCTGCTCCACGGCTCGCCCTCCCCGCTGCCCTCCCTCGCGCCCCTGCCCATCCCGGGCCGCGGGGCCTCCAGCGCTGTCCCAGCCGCGATCGGCTCCACGGGTGGCGCCCTCCTCCCCTTCGCGAGGGCTGGAGCGGCTCCCAGGTTCCCGGGACGCCGCGGACCAACTTCTGGTGCCGTTTCCTCGCCCCGGGTGCTTATCTGCGCGCAGCCTTATCTCCGAGTTATCTCAGCGAAGGGGGGCGGGCGCCCGAAGCCGGGCGGGCAGCGGGACCTCTTGCTCGCTATCTAGTCCGGGTCTGTGTGTGGGCATTAATTCCAGTGTGGTTATCGCCGGTGAGGCGAAGCGATCTGGGAAAGCCGCCCGGAGGAGGCCGGCCAGGCTGCGTTCGGCCTGCTTCCCCACCCCCTCCGAGTCTCTGTCATTCTTCCTGCTCTCCCCTTTGGGGTGGCCTCGGCTCTGGGGCGGCCTCCTGCCCCCTCCCATGCGTTTTCCTCTCCTTTTTCTCGGCGCGCTGTTCCACCCCGCTGTGTCCGATACCAGAACGGTCCGGCCTGTGTGCGGCTGGGGGTGACCCAGGGCCCAGGCTGGGCCTCGGGGCTCGGCGTGAGCGCGCACGCGGGAGCCTAAGGTGTGCGGCGCGCCGGGACGCGGAGGGGACGCCAGACTGCTGCGCCGTGGGGTTCCAGCGCGACCCCTTCTCCACCGGGGCCGCCTTCTCCGCCCTGCTCCCCACTTTCTCTGGGCGGAGTGGCATTTTCTCCGGGACGCATTCGGTCTGGTGCGCTGGGTCCGGGTAGCTGTAGGGCAAAGCGGCAGTTTCGCTTTCGGAGACAGGTTGCCGTCCTGACGCGAACCACTTTCCAACGGGAAGCCGTCACCCGGCGGGTTCCAGGGGAGGGCATCCGCTCTCGCCGCCCCGCATAGCTGCCTACTCACGCGTGTTGGGTCCGCGGCCGGAGGCAGCCACCCGGGGGCGGGAGGAGACCTCGGCCGCCTCATTGGGACCCCGGGGTCTGGCGTGCGGGGAGAGGATGCTGTGGAAGGGACGCCGGGTAGCGCGGGGGAATGGAGGTGGGGGAGAGAGGACCCCAGGGCGGCTGCGCAGGCTCCCTCTTCTCTCCTCTACCCACGCCCGCGCCCGAGACGGGATCTCGCGTGCCTCCCTGAGTGGGGAGGGTGTTGGAGGCGAGTGGCGCACAGCCCGCGCTCTTGGTGAACCCCTTTTCTCTCTCCCGTCCCTGTCTCCCCCAACCCTGCCTCAGGAGCTAGGAGTCAGCTCAGAGCGGCGCCGGACCGTGGATGGCCTTGACTGACGGCGGCTGGTGCCTGACAAAGCGCTTCGGGGCCGCGGCCGTGGACGCCGGCGACCCGGGGACCTTTCCAGCGCGGGAGCCGTCCACGCCTCCCTCCCCGATCTCCTCATCCTCGTCCTCCTGCTCCCGGGGCGGCGGCGGCGCCAGCCACTGCAGGACGCCACAGCTTGACCCGGAGGCGGTGGCGGGGCCTCCTGCTCACTCGCTGCTGCTCGGCCCTTACGCTTCGCACGCCTTCGGGGCTGCGCACGGACCTGCGGCGCCCGGGGTCGCGGGCCCCGGGAGCGCCCTGTCCAGCTGGGAGGACTTGTTGCTCTTCACCGACCTCGACCAGGCGGCGACAGCTAGCAAGCTGCTGTGGTCCAGCCGGGGCGCCAAGCTGAGCCCTTTCGCTCCTGAGCAGCCCGAGGAGATGTACCAGACGCTGGCCGCGCTCTCCGGCCAGGGCCCGGCCGCCTACGACGGTGCAACCGGCAGCTTCGTGCACTCAGCAGCGGCCGCGGCTGCTGCTGCGGCCGCCAGCTCCCCGGTCTACGTGCCCACCACGCGCGTGGGCTCCATGCTGCCCGGCCTGCCCTACCTGCAGGGTGCGGGCGGCGCCCCCTCCAACCACGCGGGCGGCCCGGGCGCGCACCCCGGCTGGCCCCAGGGGGCGGCCGACAGCCCTCCCTACGGCGGGGGCGGCGCGGCGGCCGGCGGGGCCCCGGGACCCGGCAGCGCCAGCTCGGCCGGGGCGCACGGCTCCGCGCGCTTCCCCTACTCGCCCAGCCCGCCCGGGGCCACCGGTGCTGCGCGGGAGCCCGGCGGCTACGCGGCGGCGGGCGGCGGGGGCGCTGGCGGCGTGAGCGGCGGTGGCGCGGGCGGGCTGGCGCCCATGGGCGGCCGGGAGCACCAGTACAGCTCGCTGTCGGCCGCGCGGCCGTTGAACGGGACGTACCACCATCACCACCACCACCACCACCACCCGAGCCCCTACTCGCCCTACATGGGCGCGCCGCTGACGCCCGCCTGGCCGGCCGGACCCTTCGAGACCCCGGTGCTGCACAGCCTGCAGGGCCGCGCCGGAGGCCCGCTCCCGGTGCCGCGGGGGCCCAGCGCAGGTAAGCGCGCCGCAGAGGGCCGCGGGGGTGTGGGCCCGGACCGGGATGCAGCTGCCGGGCCGCGCGAATAGACCGGGCGCTGCTTTGCTGTGGAGGCTCAGTTCTTTCAGGCACACACCCTCCACCTTCAGGCCTTGGAGAGGTCGGGGCCAGGTCTGAGACCTGCAGCAGACTAGAAGAGGTTTGCCTGGGGAGTGTCAGGCCTGAGCTCCTCCGTACCCTCTCATTTGGGGAGTTTGGGGTACTTCTGGTCACTTGATTCAGCCTCTCCCCAAACGCACATGCGTCTCATTGAACTGAACTCTCCAAAGGCAAAGACATGCGTGTGTTTCCGGGGGTGCGGAGGAGTTGCGGCCAGTGCGGGAGCCAGGCCCTAGGGTTTCACTGGGTCTCGCGTCCCAAGTGAGCTAGGGAAGGAAAACCTGGGGAGCCCTGGCCTTGCCCTTCCTGTGACTTTGTCCAGAGGGCAGCGGGTGGGTCCGCCCATGGGCCCAATTGGCATCAGCTGGGCAGGGGTCTGCGGCTGCTCGCAGGACCCTCAGAGTCGAGCCCCAGTTTGTAGCGTACCGTTCCACTTAAACACCGCATGCCCTGCGTCTGGCCAGGGTGTTGTCGGACAGACTTTGAAAACAAAACTGGCAGCTTCTTGGAAACGTGTCCTTCCAGAAAGCCCGGCTGTCTCCGTGCTGTTGTTGTTTGCCTTCACGGATTTCTTTCATTTGTTTGATAAACTTGGTCCTAAGAAAAATCAAGGCTTCGGTTGTTTGTTCGTGGGTTTGCTGGAGGTGTCACCCCAGAGTCACTGGGGTGGTGAGGTGGAGGGAGACAGTCAGGTGTCCTGTCCAGGTGTCTTTGATGGCCCAGGTCTAGGCTCCTGTGGGAGGCCTTCCAGGGTCCCTGAGGACCCTTCCTCCTCTGGTGTTCCCTGGGGCAGGTCCCCTCGCCTTTCTGCCCCTTTCCAAGGACTTGGCTGTCACACTTGCTCTCTGGCCTTTTCCTGCTCTGCTGGCCCTGGAGACCATCTCTGGGGTCGGTCGGTGTGTGGCTTGCGTGGGGAATGGACCCTGTAGGCTGTCACCTGACTGCACAGGGACCCTCTTTCCACCAGGAGGAGTGCAGTGATCTTCAAGGGGCGGGAAAGGGGTGGTGGCTGGGTGTGTAGCTTTGGGCCCAGTCTGGGAGCCCCGTGGGGACCTGGGTTGCGTGAATGGGGTGCAGCTGTCTCTGGAGTGATCCTGGCCTCTCTCCACACACCGCAGCTTGCTGCGTGTCCCACAGGAGAGATAACTCCGAAGACAAGCCAAACCGAGCCCTCCTCGGCTAGCAGTGACTGGTTCCCACTGGGAATCCTTCTAGAGCATGATGCAGCTGCAGACACTGTAGTGTGCTCTTGTTTTAAACTTAGCATATTTCTTCTCTAATTATTTTGCTTTTTACATGTGACCTGACAAAGTTAGAGGGGGTAAAAAAAAAAACCTTTCTGTATATTAAAGAAACAAAAATAGGGACCTGGGAATACCCGGAGTTTGCACAGCCTGTTCAGGAAGTCAGCTGGGCTGAGCCAGTGTTTGGGGTAGGAGGAGGGACCCTAACTTTGCCTGTCCTCTCAGCTGTTCTAAGGCCAGCATCTAGCTAGTTTTCCTACTTTTTCCCTTGGAATTTTTTTCTTGAGCCCTTTTGAAGGCAGACTGTTTAATTGATTTGAGCAGACGGCAGGACTAAAACCTGAGCACCATGTTTTATCAGTGTGAACAGTCTAGAAGCTTTGGAAATGCTGCTGCCCTCAGCCCATCCCCGGTCCAGCCCTCCAGAACACCCAGAACTGCTGACTGCTCGCTGTCTCCTGGCACCCAGGAGCTCCCCAAGCAGGCTCCGCAGACACAGGCACCCTTTCCAGCCTGGTCCAACTTTTGTCAGTTTTATAAAAGCAGTTTTTAGGAAAAAAATTCAGAGTAAGGGGTTATGGTTGCCTGGTGGTTGTGGGGGAGAAGTTGAAAGGAAGAGAGAGAATTTTTATGTAAGGAAATAAAAGCAGCCTTCCCAGAGTTCATTTATCCACGGTGGACTTTAAATTTCGTCTTGGGGTTTCCAGGGAGTAAAGGGCTCTAGCGGGGGTGCACGCCGGTCTCTGTCTTTATTGTTCCAGGCCCAAGGCTGGGTTTGCAGGGAATGTCTGCTCCTCCAGCCAGGGGCTCTGATAGGTAACATTTTAAAGTCAACAACGAAGATAAATACCTTGTTTAACTTCAGCGTCCTTGAAGTCTCGAGCGCTTTACTGATTACTGCGCTCAATAGTGGCTTTTAGGGCGGCGAAGAATAAATCTTTGTGATGTGCTTCGAGTCGTCGCCGCGTCTCCATGACAACTTTGAACTCGGCTTGTGTAGGATGCTAACTTCCTTTCAACCAAAGGCATAACTCGAGAACCGAGGCAGGGCGCTTACTTGGTAGGGTAAATAGTATTAATGGGCACAAGCGTTTTTATGTGAAAATCACATTTAAATATCTTTACTACACAGTCGATGGTAGAGGCTAGCTATAAACTGCAGGGGACAGAGAAGAATAGGACCGTTGCTGAGACTTTTAATCTTCAAGTAAAACGCTAAGGTATGATGTTTATGGATTTTAAAAAGCGATTTACAAGGGGCTGGGGATTTAGCTCAGCAGCATGAGCACCTGCCTTGCAAGCAGGCGACCGTGCGGTTGTGAGTTCGATCCTCGGTACAAATTTAAAGAAAAAATGATTTACAAATACTCCTGAAGAATGCCAAATTGAAGACAGTTTGTTTTAGGAGTGTATATTAAATAAATACTTCATTTTAATGCCTTTTTAAAAGTTCTTGAGAGGAAGTAATAAATGCTACAACCATATTCTTTATTAAGATTTGTTTTTCTCCATTCCAAGAAGAGAAAGGGGAAAAAAAAAGATTTGTTTTTCTTAGCAGGTTTAGGTTATGACAATTCTAAAAACTAAGCAGATTACTAAAAAAGATAAAAGCGAACACATTTAAAATACGTTGCAGAAATTAAATATTTAGTGTGGGCAAATAACAGCAGTTTTATTTGTCATTGGGAAAGTCTAAATAATTTTCCCAAGCATCATCAATCAGCCTTTTGTAAAAATTTTGCAAGGAAAAGCCAGCGTGGTCAGGCTTGTTCCTTGTGGCAGGCAAATAAAGCTTCATTTCTTGTATGCCTCCTTCTTAGTGCTATTTTCTTGCTTTGAGAGACCTGAGAACTTCCTTCTTGTAATAAGTTGACATTTGTGCTCGGGAGTAGAACTTATAATTTCACTTATTGTTATTGTTTTTGGCAGAAGACATGTAAGGAAGGGTGGCAGCTATGAAAATACTTTTTAAATTACTTGACAAAAGCTGAGCAAGGCAGTGGTGTGGAGGCCGAGGCAGGAGGATCCTTGTGAGTTGGAGGTCAGCCTGGGCTACAAAGTGAGTTTAAGACCAGCCTGGACCACATGGGGAGACTGTCCCAAACAACAAAAACAAACAAGGGAACAAGGCAATGTGTCCTGGGGTGTTTGTGGGTAGCAGAGATCGGTGGTCACTGTGAAGGTTGTGTGGGGAGCGTCATATGGTGACTAGAGGGATTTCAGATAAAAGCTTTGTCTGAGGGGGTCAGGGGAGCCGCTCCGACTTGACTTCTCCTAGGTGCTGGGGTGCTTCAGCCCTGCCCCAGCTTTCTGTGGCTTCGTGGGGACAGAGGGCGTCGCAGCCCTGGTGCAGATCGCAGTGGCCCCGGCCCTGCGTGTGGTGGGTGGGTGGGGGAGCCCGGGTGCCGGGTTTGGGGAGATCGGCGGGCGCAGCCTCACCCACCTCTCACCCTGCTGTCGCCGCAGAGGTGCTGGAGGACCCGCACGAGGGCCGAGAGTGCGCCAACTGCGGCTCCTTCCAGACGCCGCTCTGGCGACGCGACGGCACCGGCCACTACCTGTGCAACGCCTGCGGCCTCTACAGCAAGATGAACGGCCTCAGCCGACCCCTCATCAAGCCGCAGAAGCGCGTGGTGAGTGCGCCCCGGGAGCTGGGGGGCCGGCTGGGAGGGAGCGCCCCCAAACCAGCGAGCGCACGCCTTCCTGCGTGACCCCCGAGGCTGCAGCTGCTGTGTTTCTTTTAAAATCAAAATCTGCTAGATGTGCTCGCCACTGCACGGAAATAATTTTGGGAAGATAGATGTTCAAGGAATCGGGAATGGTGGAATGGAGTAGGGACATTGTCACCGTGTCCCCTTTGGTCAGGATTGACGGTCATTCCTGAGAAACCAGGACCCCTTTAAAACACGGGGTGCTCAGTGGAGTAGGCCAGGAAGCCTGCACCTCCCGTGTCCCAGTGAGCGACAGGGTCAGCCCCAAATTCCCCACGTCTTTGGGACTGCCCTTGAGCCTGGTGAATGCCATGCTCTAATCCTGGCGATTCTAAAATCTGGCTCCTTAGAGGACCGCATAGAACTTGGGAAAACGTGGAATGATATGTAATTCTCTGACTGAGGACTTTCACCAATTCTAGCAGATTTCCCCATCTTTTAAAGTACAGGAATTCTGATTCTTTTTAAAAGATTAATGTCACTTTGGCATTGTTATGTATGCGTCTAAGGAGTGGGTGTTCCCGGCTATTGTAGTTAGGGAAGTTGAAGCCTCCATGAACCCTCCTAAAGGCTAACATTTGTTTAGCCCAAATACTCCTTGCCTAAACGCCTTTTTAAAGGCAAAATTTGCAGTTAGATGCCAGACGTCTTAAGTATCCAGGTAATTTATTTAATTGTTGCACCCTAATTAGCAGAACAAATGCTACACATGTTGTTTGCGTTAAAAGATTAGAGTGAAATTGCACCACTGCGTGGTCTGACACCTTAAAGAGAAGCAATTAGTTTTAGGGTTGTTTTTAATGCATTTAAAATTAAGTGGCCCAGGTTAGTTCAATGAGAGTATGTGCCTTAAACTTGTTAGAGCCTCCCGTGGCTTAGAATTTTTTTTTGAAAGCATGCTGATAGCTTTGGTGCATAACTCTATGCTTTTATGGTTTGAATTATTCTCATACACACCACGTTAAAAGAGAAAAAGTAATAGGAAAATATTCCAAGGAAGTTCCGTGGTTTTGGGTATTTTACTTCATGAACAATGAAACAAGACAATTGCCACTTTTGGGAAAGCTCAGTACCAGCTAAGCTCGGAAAGGAAACATTGTCTCAAGGCGGTGTAATAGTAACCACTAAGGTCTACTCTCCTTAAAAATGTCCTTTAAGTAAGGTCCTTACTTAGTACCATTTGTTTCCCGCATTTACCAGTAAAAATAACTGTAAGCAGCAAACCAAAGGGGTTTCCCATTTCTGAGTCAGTTTTCTTTGTGGCAGGTGTGTTGGCCAAGACCAAGGTCAGCCAGTGTGCTTCGTTAAATGAGCCCTAAATGATACCAATTGCTGGGTGTGTCACTATCAATTAGCTCTTCTTGTGGGCTTCGTATTTATGGTTTTCATGGGTCTGGATTAGTTCTCAGAAACAGAATGTTGAACCCGAGTTTGTTTAGCCAGCAGTCCAGAACCAATCAGTGTGGATTTGAACTTGCAATGCGTTGCAAAATGCGAGATTTATGGTGTAACTTGAATTCCTTGTCAGTGAGGAATATAACTGAGATGGCTCGCTGCAAGGGACTTTTATAACCCGCTCACCTTCATTTCACATGTTTATGAGGACTGGCTTCCCTTATGATCTGCAGTTGACAATCATAAAGTTCTTTGTTAAAATGGCACATTCTGATAACAAGTTTGCCTCGCATTGGCTCCACATTCCCCTGGAAACTCATAAACGGCCCATTTTAGAAAATGAATCTTCCTGTCTGTTGTTTGCTGAGATTTCACATTTGTGGAAAGGAGTGCTTGTCTAGAATAATTTTTTTTTTTAACTTCGCTGAGAGGGAGAAGGTAAAGAAGCCCCAGTGTGTATGTAAGGTTTTGTTAGTATTTTCATCATTTTAGCAAAGAAATTTCCCCAGATAGGTCTCCTATCATTTAAATCACACTCTTAAGAAGCCAGAGCTAAGAACTGGTGTTAAGAATTATTAGCACCGACTTCTGAAAAAAAGCTGCAGTGCTAAAAGGCTTACTGGTGTCTGTTTTTACAACCGCACTGTAAAGAATGCTGCTAACGCAATATGCAGGGTGTGAACTGCAAACGTGAAATCCAATTTCATCATTTCAATTTGCAGGCAAAGAATTTGCAAATCTCTGTCTTCCAGTTTGGGAATGTTAATGCATCCTCACTGGTATTTTTATTGCCTGTCTTTTATAACTTTGTGTTCAGACTAATGTATAACTGACTTATCAAATTCTGCTCATTAAAACTTCCTCAGGTCTCTAAATGCTCCCCTTAGATTCTTTTTTCTTTCTGTTTTTCTTTCTTTCTTTCTTTCTAAGCTGAAGTCATAGCACAGTTTTTATAGTCATGGAAAACAAGTTTTAAAAGGAACTTAAGTTAGAGACGGATGGTACATTTTGCCATTCTGGGGAGGAAAGTCCTCTAGCTTAAATTCTTATTCTTTAAAAGTCACATGTGATAATGTAGGGGAAATGGAGGAGCATTTTCTTCGCCAAGGGTTTACATCTTCTTTCTTTTTCTGTTTATCTTCTGCTTCTAAGATCGCCCGGAGGTGGAGGTGTAGGGCCCCTGTCCAGCTTCTGGCTGACCGCCCCCCCAGCTGAGAAAGGACCTGGGCTCTGCCAGTGTCTGCGCCGAGGGGGCGTCCAGAGCGGGGAGGCGTTGGTGTGTATGATCACCCTTCAGTGGGTGTTAGGGACACTCGTGTTCATGTCCAGTTGTATCCTCCCTTGTGGTATCTTTCGAGATACAGCTATTTGGCAGCTTTTAGAAAATCTGGTTCCCCGTGGAAAGTCTCCCAGCAGTCCGTCACCCAGAGTGTGCGTGGTGGAGCTGGGACTTGAGGTGCCACGCAGTTGGGGCTTGTATTAAGATCCTTTCTGCTTCTTCCTTCACAGCCTTCGTCGAGGCGGCTCGGGCTGTCTTGTGCCAACTGCCACACCACCACCACCACCTTATGGCGCAGGAACGCTGAGGGAGAACCCGTGTGCAACGCATGTGGGCTCTACATGAAACTCCACGGGGTGCGCGGCTCCCTTTTGCTCTCTGCCTGGTAGAGGTGCAGTGACGTCCACACAGGGAAGGGTGCGAGAGCCAGAGGGTTCGAGCACCTCCTTAGCTGGAAGGTGCTGCACTGTGATCTGGGTGGCCGTGAAAATCAGAGTCCCTGCCTGCTCATGATCACAAGCCCCCCTTGTGTGACACCTTCCCGATTTAGGAACACCAGAGCCCCAGGACACCTTTTAGGAGTAGCGACCAGATCTGTTTGAATTGTAAGCAGTCAGTCAGATGAACTCACAAGGCACAATAATAAGTAGATTATAAAATCCTTGAATGCGAGCAAGGACCCTGGCAGCGGAGGAACTGGTAGACTTTGTCCTTCAGCTTAGAGGACAGGGTAAAATATTATGAATACCTCAAACTTGCAAAGAAAAATAAGGTCTAAGAGGAAGATCGTACATGATCTTTTATTTCATTTATTTATTTACCTACTTACATTTTTGCAGTGCTAAATGTAATTAAGCACTGCACGTTTAATCCATGTAAATGGATTAAATCCAGAGCCACGGGCTTGGTAGGCAAATGCATTACCATTAAGCTGCATTCCCAGGCCAAGTTACTTGTCTGTCTGTCTTTATTTCTTTTTAATTTTGAGAAAAGATCTTGCTACATTGCCCAGGCCATTGGAGCAATAAACACCATACTTTACAGACATTTTAATTTAATTAAGATCTCTATCATTTTTTATGGTGAAATTAATCCAAGGAAAAGCAAGAAGTTTTGGAAGAATTAAATTCTCCTTTGTAAATCACACCCTTCACTTTTTTTTTTCTTCCCCATGCTGGGGATCAAATCCACCCCTGCTACTGAGTATACCCGCTGCCCTCCTCTTTTATTTTTTTTTTCTCCTCGAGCGATTCAGACCCTCTTTTCTTAAGAAATATCGATCTTTGATGGTGAATGTGTAGCCTCTGTGTACTTGGAATCTATTGTGTATACAAATGGGGTTGAGGTTTACGATAAATTCTTTTAAATGGGGGTTTTCAGTCCTGATGCCAGTCTTTGGTTTTTCCTTCAATATATTTAATAAACTTAAGGCTTTATGTGAACATTTTTTAGGTGCCTCGACCGCTTGCTATGAAAAAAGAGGGAATTCAAACCAGGAAACGAAAACCTAAAAACATAAATAAGTCAAAGACCTGCTCTGGTAAATATAATGAAAGGCCGTTGGATCGGGAAGTATTTGCCGGTCCTCGCGGTAGAGCCTGTGTGCTGACGGGGTTTATTTTGACTCTCACAGGTAATAGCAATAGTTCCGTTCCTATGACTCCAACTTCAGCCTCTTCTAACTCAGATGACTGCAGCAAGAACGCATCCCCTCCGACACAGCAGGCGGCCTCAAGGGTGAGTGTTACGGAGCGGACGCCTAACCGAGTAGGTTGCTCTCTAGTACGTTATCTCGAATTTTATCTTATCTGGCAGCACAATAATCTAAACCAACAGTTTAGTTAGTTGATACCTAAGAATAGCTTTTAGAGGAAGTTACATTTAAATGTCAACAAAATGACAAACTCAAGTACTTTACAAACATCTTAATTAAGATCTGTATCATTTTTTTATGGTGAAATTAACCCAAGGAAAGCAAGAAGGTTTGGAGAGTTTTCAGTTGTTTTTAGTGGTACTTTTTTTTTTTTTTTAAGAAAAGCAGAACCTTCTATGTAGTTGCTTTTGCTTCTCCCAGTTCACTTGCCGCTCCTTATCACCCACCCAAAGCAAAGCTCAGCGCCTTTGTGCTCTTGGCTGTTGTTTCCACCGACCTTTGTTGTTGTCCCGTGTTCCTTGGTTGTACCTGGCAGACTGTGGGGGTCTTGGTGACCGTCACAAAGTTTCTGTCAAGCTGTGCCTTTCCCCACCCTGTTTCTCAGATTCTCCTGGAATTCTCTTTTGGTACCATGTGACTGGAGCCTCCCGCCTCAGCCTCCCTAGTGCTGGGATCTCAGGCTTGGGCCACCATGCCCCGCCTCACTTGGAATGCTCTTAAAAAAAGAGGAAAAAACCAAACCAAAATAAAACCACCGGGACTTCCTTTTCTTTTCTTTTTTCTTATGTTTTTGAGGCTGGGGCTGAAACCCAGGGTTCCTGAGTTAGAACACTCCTAGCCCTCAAGCAGGGCTTTAAAATGAGCCTCCTGCTAATTCCTAGGTTAAAGCAGAGACTAATTTAGGACTGTGGTTTTGTTCTGAAATTGTTGGGGCCCTTTAAAATACTGTAGATTCCTGAGCCCCACCCTGGAGTTTTGAATCTAAATTTTTTGGGGGTGGGGCCTGGAAATCTGGATTTTTAAACTAGGGCCCCGGGGAAATGGGAACTGCAGCCCCTGGGTGCTTTGGGATCTGCAGCGGGTCCTTCTCTCACGTCCTGCTGTCTGTACCAACCCCAATTTAAATGTGTAAAACAGAATATTGAAGCTGTGCTTAAAACCAGAATTTGATGTTTCTCTTTGTCCGGAGGCCCAAATTCTCAGGCGCTTTTTCTGTAATGGAAATCCTGTCACCGGAATGGAAATCGTGACACCGGGAGGGGGCCTCAGCTGTTTCTGCTCCTTAGGCACCGCCTGCAGAGCCTTTTGAGCGGGGAGAGGTCTGGCTGGGTGTTTTGTTTGGTTGGTGGGTGCCTGCAGCAGGAGTGGGGCCTGCCACGGAGCCCGAGCTCTCTGTCTCTTGTCCAGCTGAGTTTGAGGGCCACTGCCGGCCAGGTCCCTGCTGTGGGTGACACCTCAATGGCAGAGGGGTCCCGGCACCCACAGGAGGCGTGGGCCTGTTTGTCCCTGTGGGTGCTCCCAAGGTGTCATAATGTGAGATACACGCTCCAAGGAGGGTGAAAGGGCCCAGGGCTGGTGCCACGGGGGCCTGGACGGCCTGGCCCTTTTGCCAGGGACCAGGTGCAGGGAGGTGGCTTGGCCAGCTCAGGCCTGAGGCCTGAGGCCTGGGGCTGAGCAGTGGGGATCTGTGATCTGTGAGGAGTTCAGGTCTCTCAAGGTCTTGGGCTGTGAGCTCCCTGGCCTTCTTCCCTCTTTCCCTTCCTTCCCTCCCGGGCCTGCAGCTGGGCAGCTCCCAGAGATAAGCACAGAAATTCCTGCAGCCCCCAGGATGGGGCGGAGCGTCCTCCCTCCCCTCCCCCAGACAGACTCCTCCTCAGTGTAGGGGCCAGAGCTGGGCCCTGGGCCTGCAGAAGCCCCTGTGAATGGTGACCTCAGTGTGGAGGTCCCCAGAGCGCCCTGTGACTTGGCTGTGTGAGGGTGCAGCTTCCCTGGCAGAGCCCTCTGAGCCTCCTTGGATACTAGAGTCCCCAGGTTACCAAGGGTCCCTGAGTATGTCCATTGCCCCTAGAACCTTCCAGGAGCTTCTCTGAGTGGGCTGAGCCTTCAGGCAGGGGCAGAGCTAAGTGACAGTGCAGGAGCCGTTCTGAATGTGCTGGAGGGGTTTACAGAGGTGTCCTCTCTGACTTTCCCTTTTGGTTCCCCGAGTCTGATGCTAGTGGACAGCTGGCCGGTGAGATTTTGTGAAATGCTATAGGCAGGTTCCCGGAGCAAGCTTGTGTTAGGAGTGTAGAAACTATTGCACATAAACAACCCTGGTGTGGTGGCACACAAGTGTAATCCTAACACTTGGGAGGCTGAGGCAGGAGGACTGCCTGGAGTTTGAGGCCAGCCTGGACCACATGAGTTGAAGGTCAGCCTGAACTATACAGTGAAACCCTCTTTCAGAAACAAACCCCAAATCAAAGCAAAGTACATGTGTTACACAGTACCTATGATGGTTCGGAGGTCCAAGTCTTTGGAGAGAATTGATCCACTCCACACTGCCAGTGAGTGGCAGGGTAGGATTAACCTGCAGGGTGCCACAGTTTAATGCCACAACTGAGTCGGGGAACTCAGCAACATCAAGAGTGGTCTCTGCAGCCCATGAACCGGGACCATCGACTTCCTGTAAGTGGGGAGTCATCCTAGAAGCCCCATCCTTGCCATTCACTTAACCCCGCTCTGCGCCCAGGAATCAGTCTGGGAGCCTAGTGGCAGGCGTGGCCAGAGTCCCAAGTCCTCTGAGGCCAGGGAAGAGGCCCACACTGTCCTGTCCGAGTCTGGGCTGGGGCTCCCTCCCCAGCCGGGAGGAAAGATGAAGGGGAGGGTGCCTGGCACTGCATTCTTCCCAAGGAAGCTGTCATGTGCCATGAAATCATTTCTGCCCAGCTCTGAAAGTTCACTCCTTGGACTGATTTTTGTTTAGCAGCTCTATGCACCTGCTGCTAATTTGCACTTTAATACAACCTCTGAGAGCACAAGACACCCCCTGGGTAAAGGCCAATGGGCCGACTTGGCCACAGAATCACTTAGCTTCTCCTTGTGGGCTGTGCTGCTGGGGATGAGGGTGGACAGATTGTTTCGTGCTTGAGGCCGGGAAGATGTAGAATCACCGGCCCACTGCTCACACGTTGCTTGGCTTGTTTTGTTTTTATTTTTTGGGACAATGTCTCACTATGTAGTTCAGGGTGCTTTGAACTCACTATGTAGCCCAGGCTGACCAAGGTGACCTTCCTGTCTCAGCCACCCGAGTGCTGGCATTACAGGCGTGCACCATCACACCCGGCATATTGCCTGTTTTATTCCTTCAGAATTCCTGGTGTTTATTAAGCAAAACATAAACTTAATTTTTGATAGAGTTGGTTAAAGACTATTATCTTTCATTCTGGCTAAGATTTTCCTTACACATAGTGGAGTTATCGATTGAAAACATTTAGTTGATCTAAACACACATCAGATTTCCTTTGGTATTTATTCTCTATAATATGTAAGAGTATTAAAATCTCTTGACTTCCATTTATTAACTGAGTTATATTTTACAGGCTTTTTGGTTATGGTTCTTTAGTGCAAAAATGTAATGTTCTATGTCGGCAATTCTCAAATGAGATTTAATAAGCAGCCCATAAATGGTCTCATCGCTTCTATGACTTCAAACTCTAAAACTGGAGAATGTTTTGTGTAAACCTTGTAACTCAGCTGCTAAATTTTATAGAGAAAAAGTATTCTGAGTTTTCTTTGGGATAGAAACAATTAGCTTTGGAGATGAAGTTAGCAATAAGACAATGTCTGAGAATTAAGAATCACTGAGCATATTTTGCCCTAAAATAATCCTATAAATAATTACTAAAAAATAAACTTCCTGAAGCTGATATTAATGGTGACTGTGATACACAGTCACATGAAGCGTGGATGCTGCAGTGAATGGAGGTGAAAATGGATGAGTCCTTGCTTTGCTGGTTGGCGCAAGCCTGTGATCCCTGTGCTCACTTGGGAGGCTAAGGCAGGAGGATCAATAAAAGTTTGAGGCCAGCCTGGGCTACAAAAGTGAGGCACTTGCTTCAAAAACCAAACCAGTCCAAACCAAGAAGCTTTGCTGGAGGGGAGGCAGTGTTTACAGTTGGGTAAGACCAGGCCCCACAGCTGGAATTGCTCCTGGGACAGTGCCTGGGGTGGTTTCAAGGAGCGCAGACTTAGATGTGTAAGTGTTGTAAACCAGTGATAAGCAGAGTTCCCCAGGGTCAAAGTGGGAGCATGGAGTTCATCGCAGAGCTAGAAGCAGTAGAGGAAATTCAGATGAATTGGGCAGAGTTTTTATGGGAGAAAATAGGGACAGTGGTGTGTGTGTGGGGAAGTTTCCCATCTCCAGAGCAGCTGAAGGGAAATGTTTCCAGAGGTTTAGTGCGGCTGGGGGCAGGGAGCGAGAAGCCAGGGGCTGGACTGGATTCCAGCTGCTGAGTAAGACTGGTGGAAAGCAGAGTCTTCAAATCCCCACCAAGCCAGCCGCGCGCGGGACTCCTCAGCGATCTGACCCTGAGCCCAGGCGCCAGGCATGGCCTCAGCTGCCACCGCACCTCCTCCGTCCAGGGCTGGGGCACTGTGTGGATTTCCTCTTCCAAGGGCACGAGTGCCCCGGAAAGGTTCCCCCACTCTGGGCTTCTTGCTGGGCACTGCCACAGGCCTGGGTTCTGGCCGCTTCTTGCTTCTGTAAAGGTGTCCTTGGTGCCCCCAGGAGCCCCAGCGGGGTTTGAGAGACACAGACCCCTCGGGTGCTGTTGAGGGAGGCCGGGCACACAGGCAGGTAACGTGTAAACTTCTCGGAGGTTTTATGTATGGACTCCGCTTAGTCCCTGTAGCTCACTGGACAGTTTTTAGCTAAGGGAGGGGAGTTCATCCTTCCCCTCTTCCTTTCTTCATTTTATTTTTTGAACCTGCAAATGAATACAGGGGCTCCTTGTGCAGGCTGATCTCAGACTTAGGATCCTCCCACCTCAGCCTTCCCAGTAACTGGGATTAGAGAGGCGTGGGCCACTGCCTGGCTGGAGGG